CTTAAGTCTACTCTATGATAGTTTTCTAGTTTGACAAGAGAAAAAGAATAATCAGGGATATCTCCTGTTAGCCAGGCAGGCGATGACAATATACAGGGCAGCCTGCTGCCTCTTGTTTGCATTAGTACCTGGGAAACTTCTTTTTCGTCACCCAGTTCATGTTCTCCATGTAGACAAGGTAAGGGGTTGTCAAAGCGTATAGCCTTTGTTGTATTTCACTGCCTGTGTTTATTCATATTGTTCTGTTCCAGTGAGGAGTCCAAGGTGTACTGGCAAAAGCTGTTCTGTGTTGCACACTGGTCCAATTTGCTTTTTTTTTCCTGCACGTAGAAAACAAAAACAAATTTGCCCATCCCAACCCAACCACTGGAACCACGTGTGCTGCTTAGCCCTGCTTGCCGCTTTAATTCTCTCTGTTCTAGAAGCCATTCAGCTCTTCTCTTCTGTTTCTGTTTTTTTACTTAGGTTTTTTTTTTTATTTTGTTTCAATATTTTGCATTGATAATGAAGAGCAATCTGGTGAATTTTCAGTATGAGAAGTCCTAAAATAAATATTTACAAATAAAATAAATATTTATTAGATTTAAAATGCACTTAGTTCTTTAAAATAATTTCTTAAATCTATTTAAAAATTATTTTGATATAAACCCAACTACATTTACCATGTGGAAATGTAAATGTTGCAGGAAGGAGGACAGAGAGGGCTTCATAGAAATCCTAACGTTTTTAACCACATAGCCAATTACCCAGAGAGCACCAACAAATTGCTGAATATATACCTAATTCTGAGACGCATTTGGGCATGAGCCACTTGAAATAGCTTATTTTAATTTAAAAAAATTTATAGTTATTTTTCCTCATTGATTCTAAGTTTAGAATAAAATCAGAACTGACATTTTTGTTTGCACAATAGAAAGGAAGGAGGCATTTTTGTTAGGTTAGGAAGACAATTGTGTTAGACATACGTTTTCAGAGAGTGTCTCAGGTAATCCATGCTTGCTGGGAACTTGATAGGTAGCTGAAAATGACCTTGAACTTCTGGTTCTCCTGTCTCCATCTATCAGTTGCTAGGGTTATAGGTGTTCACAGTCATACCTGGTTCATGTAGTTTGGGTAATTGAACTCAGAGCCTATTGCATGCCAGGCAAGCACTCTACTGAATGACCTACAGTAGACCTTCTTTAGACATTTTGAAAAAAAAATGTGATTTTAGCTTTAATAAATGATTTCTATCAGCGCTATGCTGCTGGGTGGCAAGTTGTGGTAACATCTGTTTCTTTAATTATCTGTACCAGAAAGATAAGTATGTAACCATCTTTCCAAACTTTATAGTTACATATGTTAGTGTTATATCTTATATTAAGTAATCCAACTGGGATTGACAGTTGTTATCTAATATCTTAATATTCACACTAGTTATTCTATATGTTTCAGATACAAATATATTTCCCTGGGCTCACAGGGAACACTCCACTAATGGGTGAGCTCTGGGCCAATAAGAGACGCTGTTTTAGGGGTGATAGACACCATTTCTCTGGATGACATCTGAGTTTTCCTCTGGACTCCACATGCATGCCCACACATGTGCAGGTCCATTTACACACACATAAATTAAAGATAATAGCAAAACCCAAATGAATAACTTATGGTATATATCCAAATAGTCTCACTATTATTATTATTAATACTAATAAAAATGTAGTATGATTACTTATGCTAATTCAATAGACAATTACTCATTTTGCGCAGTGGTAATGATGATGTTTTCTGGCCTCTGTCAATCACATACCTGTCGACAATAAAAAAAAATTGAAAATTTAAATAAATCAATTATTTGTACAATGGCTCTCATTAAAAAAAAATGTTTGCCAATTAATGGCATCTTCCACTGCTTCCCAAACTGGATTGCATTCAGTCTTGTATCATGCCTAGAAAGAGAGAGAGGTACTCCATAGTAAAAAAAAATTAAAATTAATTGTAGTATGTATTTTAATTTAACTCAAAACTTCATTTCAAACGGAATCAATATAAAAATCAATGAATGTTTTGGGAGCTAATACTTCAAAACACGTTTCAGTTGAGTTGAACCATATGTCAAGTTCTCAGTGAGCACATGGTACATGCTACTGTACTGGACAGCACACTCCGTGCATTGCCAGTGATCAGCTCGAAGAAGGGAGGTTGATCTGTAGAATTATCTCATAGATTTTACCATGACCAAAGGTTTTAAGTGGGTGGAAATCTGTTTTGTAGTTTTGATGGAATTTGACTGGCTTTAAAAGAGGCAGATTAGTTTAAAGGTGACAAGCTTAATTCTCCCTCTAAATAATCTAATTAATGCAAATGAATTAATGGAGAGTTCAACATATCTGAAAAGATAAGAGAAGTCACTTTGTGACAGAGTCTTTGGCCTGTGTCAGCTGACTTGTAATCACGCACATGTTCTGTGAACTATTTTTTATTTTTTTAAAAATTTTAGCTAACTCCTCACACTGATACAGTTTCTTCCAAATAAGTGCCCATGTAGCAGTGAAGATTTCGTGTGCTGAAGGCACTGCACCAACTCTCCCCAAATACATCCACTTAAAATACAGAGTGGTTTTAGTCACACTTCCAATTTTGGATTTACTAAAGGCATTTGGAGTTGGTGGAAAGGCAAGATGCCTGCTGTTCAACTTTTCTTTCCCACAAATTCTCTTTACTGAGAGCTCACATGTTTCTTGCTACATTTCCAAAGCACATTAAATTCCCACTTGAAACCGAGCGACCACAGCACACTCTGTAAATAGGAGCTGTGAGCAACTGCTGTAAGATAAAAGATGAATATGAGAGCAACCGCCCTGCTTCTGAGTGGAGAGTACTGTGCCACCAACAGGCAGAGAACAGATTGGGACTGGGAAATCCAACAACAAAACATGTTTTTTGAAACTCCATGGCTTCATTCCTGAGTTCTGAATCTCAGCTCTATAAACCCACTGAGCTGAATAATACCAGTTTGTGAGACCATTCTCCACCTTGGAGGATGTTTAGGAAAATTTCCAACTTCTGCTCATTAGCAACCACTTCCCCAGCTAAATAGTGACAAGTCAAAAATAACCTCCAAATCACCAAATGTCTCCTTGGAAACAAGGCTCTTCTCAGTTGAGGTCCAAAACTTTATTTAAAGTCTTAAAAATTAGATATTTAAAATGGAGCATTTTCTTTAACATCAGGGTCAAATTAACTAATTAGATAATTTTAAAGATATTACGTACTTCTAAAAGTTTACAGCAGTTGGGAAATGCAATAGATCCACATGGTATTCGTTCTCTTCTGTCCTGCCTTCTCAATCTTGGAGGTCTCCTTTTACCCTGTCTTCTAATTTGATGGTAAATACTTTGTTTCATCTGGTATTGGTTTATATAGGAGGATTTCAACTTTCATATCAAATTAATTGTCACAACAGAGGCTGAGAAGATGTGGCTGCTTGAACTCTCTTGGAAATACGAGTTCACTGAAATTGATTTACAATGACCTGCACTCCCTAAATAAAGTTCAATGGATTATACCGTCAACATGGATGCTACCAGAAGAAAATTCGAAAATTTGTGTCTAAAGTAATACCACAAACCTTTCCATCTCTGTAAAATATGGGAAATAAACAAAATCTCAAAACAAAATGTGTGTTTCTTTGTTCTCTTAAAATAAGCCTAAACAAAGCATTTTAGAATATCTGTTTCCTGTTATATGAAACATGTGGGTAGTTAAATAATAGTATTGTTCATTAAGGATAGTGAGTGTGTATTCCATTTATTTTACTTTGTAAAGTTTCTGAATGGCGAAATAGGTTGATAAAGGCAGTATAAGACAAGGAAAATGGTAATATAGAGGGGGCTAGGCTGGGTAGACTTTATCTGGACTTGGTAAACTTATGAGGGTATCAATTTTAATATAAAATCAAGTAGCTATACCACAGGGACTGAGAAGGTGTAGCGCTCTGTTTAAACCTTCTTAGATATAGTTCAAGGATGTACAGTACATACAAACCCCCTCAGCTTAAAGAATTATCATTCTGAATCCTAATATTCATGCTGTTTTTTATTGATAAACGCTATGCCAGGCTAAGCAAATGTTCACTCACCTAACACTTAAGTGTTGCTTGAGATGTATGTTACAGCCTACATCTGATATGGAAAAGGAAGCTCCAAGGGTTGAAATTGCTTGTGGAAAATGATGACTCCAGTATAAATAAAATTCAATTTGTAACTTTGAGCACCAAAATTTAAGTTCATTTGGGGAGTTTTCCGGATCCCCAGCCGACTCTGAGTGAGACCTGGCCTGATTCCCCAGGCTTTTGTAGTTCGAGGAGGCTAATGGGTTTTTTGGTAAAGCAGCAGAATTTTGCCAAGAGAAAGAAAGCAGGAAAGAGAAAGATGGAAAGGGAGAAAAAGGAGAGGGAGGAAAAGATATGAAACAGTTTTCAGATTGGAAGGTTGAGAGAGAGGTGGAATTGGAAACCAAAAAACAGAGAGAGCCAGAGACTTTTGGTAGTGGCTGCTTTCCTGCTTGGGCTGGTAGGAAATGGTAGATGTGTTATATTCTCGGTTTTCACACCTTGTGGAACCATGTGTTCAAGCCTTCAGACATTCAATTTAAAATTAGGGCTCTAGTTATAAACTACCAGTATTACCTTGTATTTAAGGAAAAATGATCTTTTTTTTAATTTCAGAAGATAAATGGACTGTGGTAAACTTAATGGACAATTTAAGGAATTTTCTAAGATACTGCAACTGTATTATCATTTTCATTGTCCTTTCATGCTTTCTCTAAAAGCTAAGCCCAGAATATAATGTAATTTGACCAATTTTATCTGTATGTAAACATACCAGGAAAATAGAGGGTAAGGTTTGCTTTTGAGGAGAGTGTCACCCTATAATTTCACAACAAGAAGAGTAAAAAGCAAAACCCCTAATTTTCACGGTATGATTTAAAAATAGCAAACTAATATTCTTCTCTTTCAGTTCATTTCTGCCAAAGATGAATATGTTTTAGAAGACTACAAGATGAATGTGATTCAGACTGAGGCAAGGCAACATTGAATGGTAAATATTTTATTTTCAAACCTGTAGTCCTAGAGAAGATCAATAGTGGAAAAGTATGGGCTGATAACCCAATCTCAGAAACTTATAATTTAAAATTTTATTTAACTCTTGTTATGATATTTTATGAATAATAATAAATGTATATTTAATTGAATTATACTAAATATTAAGTACAAATGGACTAAAATGTATCTACATCATGACAGACACTTATGTACTTACAAAAAGAGAGACACTAAAAACAACAAAAATGTTGCTAGATATTGGAATTCAGACTTGTTTTTCTGATGTACTTAGCTCTATAAAGTAACTTATCTGTGAAGCTGAAAATATTTCTTGGCTCTGGCATAAACAACCATAAAATCTGTTTGAATAGGTTATATTTATACAGTGTCATGTAAAGGATATCAAAGCATTAGATTCAATAGGAAAACATCTTATTGTTATTTCTTATTTAATATGTCAGTTTTACAGAGTCATTGTGTGTTTTAATATCTGGAATGTAAAAATAAGCTACTTTTGATTGGCCCTTTTGTCTCTGTAGCTTTCTTCTCCTATTTGTTCAAGGAAATGCTAGGCAGGTATTATTTAAAACATGGAAGAATACATTAATTGACATCAGAGTTCTATTTGGACATTTATTTGTTAGCTTAAACAAATCTCTGTTGTTTTATGACAGTGTTCTTTGTGCAAGTAGTACTGACTGACCCTTCACCCTAGGTATGGATTTAAACTGTGAAATCCATTTGTCTGTGTGCAATATGGCACTTTAACCCTTAGTAACCAATGGTCATTTGTCATCACCACCACAAATATTTCCGGTTTTAGGGTAAAAATGAGGGCTTAAGTAAAACAAAGAAGAGATTAGTTATAGTAATGAAACTGTGAGCAGAACACAAATGTAACCATTTTATTGTGTGGAGACTAGCTTTCTCTTTTATTATTCAATTACAAGCCATAGTCCAGACTTGTGTATATGGACATACCAATAACAGCATTAAAACTGCACGTCAAACAGGTTAAGTTCTGCCTAAAGGAAAAATATGAAAACAAGACTACACTATCTATTTATTTTAAATACCAGAAAGCTACATTAATAGTGTTAACTTAGTTTAAATGTTTTATGCATATTAGCCCACCTCTTATGATGATGCTTTCCCCATAATATTTGATGTTGTAGAGGATATTATAAAATTACTCTTTGATCTTGTGAATATTGTTGAATGAAGTATAAGGGATCTTTACTTGTATAACATCTTTCACCATCATTTAACTTTAAAGTGTTTAAGTAAAGATTTTAAGTAAAGAACGTTTGTTTTACCTTTCCCAAAATATGATTTCTCCAAGCCACCCTTATTATTTTTCTTTGTTCTTTTCCTGTGTAATGCATAATTTTAAAGGACAGGGAGGGAGTGAGAGAAGAGAAACAAAAAAGAGAGGGAGGGAGAGGGAACTTTAGCATAGAATTTCTCCTCTTTGTCTTCTAAGTGCTAAAATATGACTATTCTTTATAAGAGATTAAAACAATATTTCTCAGTCTACTTTCTATTTAAAATATTTGCTCTTCCCAATTTGTAGTACAACAAGAAGGTATGAAAATCTCATTTCAATGTGTGATCCTGGGTTTTTTTCTTCAGAGTAATTTTTTTTGGCAGAGTAGGCTAAATTTGTATGGAGGAAACTGTACTTTATGCTAAATCATATTAAACCTGAGGCTGTTATTTTAGCAGCACTGGCTCCCTTTTTATGGGAGCAGTATGGTCTAAAAAGAGAGAAAGGCTATCTGAGTGCATATTTCATAAGCTTCTTATTCATTATTCATGCATGCCATTAGAAGCAGAAGGAATATATACACACGGGCATTCGTTCAGAAATGTGTTCTGAGCAGTACATGCAACCTCCACCTTAAAGGATGCTTTTTCAGTGGTGGTGGAAGGATGCTCACTGAACATAGCAGAAGCCCTTCCTTGGCGAGTTCTTGTAGTAATACTCCAGAAGCTTCTAAAACCCACTAAAGTTTAATTTTCCACTCTTTGAATTAGGCCTATAGCTCTTCCCTCCAAAGTAATTTGAGTGAGGATAGCATTTGAGAAGTTTCAGACTAGTTTTGCTCTCTATGTTTCATAAAACTTTTAAAATGTAAAAATATAAAATGGAAACTTAGTCAATTTTGGGAAGGTTTAAAGCACTTATTTTTTGAATGAAATATGATTCATGATTCTTGCAAGAATATGTAGCTGATTTAGGTCTATGATTTAGTTGCTGTGTACAGAAGACTCCGGTTACTTTATAAATATTCACTTATAAACACGAGGAGTGTGCACTCCTCCTCTACAAAAATTTAGTCATTACTGCTATACCTCATTTTGAAGATATTTTATTATAAAAATTCTAATAATATGGGTGTAAAATGCAGCATATAATTTAAGAAAAAAAGAAACTTCTATTTTTTCTTTAAATTTTATTGCCATGATATGTACAATTTTGACAATGAATTAGAAATTAGCAATAAAATTGATAAAGTGAATTTTGAAGTAACCTCTTTCTCTTTCCCACTTTTACATGTATCTTAGACTCATATTTGTTATCTTAGGAAAACTCGTCCTGGCATTGTTAATTAAGAGCTTATGAAGTAGACTGTTATCACTGTAAAGACTGTAATAAATACAAATAATTTTGAGCATGTTGTGCATTTAATAAACTGTGGTTGAATAATTCAGAATCTGGGGTCCTAGTATTAGGACTATCTGTGTAACTATAATTCCAGAATACAACATGAAAGACTTTTGTTTTCCTTTGTTGTTTTTGATACATAAATATAGATTAGCGGGAATTCAAATGAAAGAGAAGAAGAAACAGTAGAATTTTCTACATTGGGAGTCACAGCTCTACTGATGTGTTAAACATGATGATTAAAAATGACTTACCCATTTTCTTATTAAACTGACAGTTGTCATAGCACTTGAGAAGGAATGGATTTCTTCTGAAATTAGGAGTATGTGAGCTTAACATGTAGAGGATAACTTTGTAATTGGCCAGCTGTTAAAAACATTTAAGCCTTCTAGTATATGTTGTAGTAAAAAATGAACCTTTATATTTTTTTGTATGATTTTTAGTAACTTCAACTTCTGTTCATTATTTTGGAAACAATTACAAAGAAATGCATATTATTTTCCAGCAAGGGTTTGAATTAATGTGCATTTTATAAATTACAAACAGAGCTGGAGAGATGGCTCAGTGGCTAAAGGCTCTGGATGCCAAGGCTCGCAAACTGAATTCTACCCCTGGACCCACATATTAGGAGAGGGTGGGTGCCCATAGGTCCTGTGAGTTCCACATTAACATCATCACACACAAGAAAACACGGATAAACAAATAATTTAAAAAAACAATGAAGTCATAAAGTTATTTCAAACCCATTGTTAAGGCTAGCATGGTTTTTTTTTTTTTTGAGGGAATTCTTTTTTTATTTCATATTTTTTACACTTTATTCATTTTGTATCCCCCCATAAGCCCCTCCCTCCTCCCCTCCCGATCCCACACTCCCTCCCCCCTCTTCACTCATGTTCCTCCTCAAGTCACTGATAGGGGAGGTCCTCCTCATGTATGTTTTAATGTTGAGACTAATAAACTAAAGAGCAAATGTTAAAGAGTATCTTGAAATAAGTACCCATTGTGTGTCAGGGACCCTTTTAGAACTTTGAATGGGCATTATCTCTTGGATTCTTATAGAAACCCTGAAGCCATTGGCCAACCTCTTTTTTTTTTTTTCTCTGTGTGAAAAAAATTGTCTTAGAGTTCTTCCAAACTATGGACTGAGCTGGGTCTCAGAAACAGGACGAGTATGATAAATATTGCTGAATAACTCAAATGCTGTTTTTTTTTATTAGTTTGTTTTTGTTTTGTTTTGTTGTTTTTTAATGCTATTTTTAATATTTAGATACAGATATATTTAGATCTGGAAAAATGAAGTTTAATACTCCCTAAACCTATAAAAAAAAAAAAAAAAGAAAGGAGCTAAATTTGCTTTTTAAGACTTGACTCCAAATACATTAACAGTTAGATAAGGCATCTGTGTCACCTTCTTGAGGCTAAATACATTTGTAACCCTGTGTATTTTACTCACAATACTATATAGCATGATTGGTAGGTTAGTCTTGAAATGCCATTTATTGCTTTGCCATAAGGATGTACCTGTATTTTCTGTAACTGATTTAGTTATAGGGAAAAAAAAAACAATGCCAAAGTAATTCTAAGATTGCTGAGAAAGACAATCCTTTCTCAGGAAGTGGCTATGCACCTTGGCTAAAGACTAGAATTATTTTCAGGCTGTTATATGATTCTAACTGATTCTCACGTGCAGCTCTTGGCCGTTTTCCACAGTAGGAACAAACTACAGTTGTTTGCTATAACGTTCATGTGACTCAGACATGTGACTCATGAGGTTGAGGTACCAGGTGGATATGAGGACTGAAGCACAGACGAAATTTGATGACTCTCTGTTATCAGAGAGCCATAACTTAGTAACAGTAACCATCATCACTTCAGAGTAGATTTCTATCTGAATTGCTCCTCATCCATAATTCCACAAATACTTGCTTATTCTCTCATCTGGGCCGCTTCCTCCATCCATGCCAACCATATGCTTCTCTCTATGATAAGCCATGGTGGCTCTCTCCTTCCTTCCTCCTCTTTCTGTTTCTCTCTCCTGTGATCCTTCTGTCTCCAAAGCCCTCAAATCTTAGCCACGCGTACCTCCTTCCACCATACTACAGATATAGGCCTTTTAATAAGCCAATCAGAAATAATTTCTTAGGCAAGGTTACAAAGGTCATTTTGAGGTTTGTGAGTGTCTGCTTATCTGGGCAGCAACCAGATCTTTCAGGGCAGTAATTAGCATCAGAATACATAGCCCCAGCCCCAGCCCCAGCCCCAACACACAAGCTTTAACATATAGTCGCCTGAGGGCACTGGTCAACAGCTTTTCCTCTGTGTCAAAG